TAAAAAAAAGTCTGGCCTAAGTGCAATTTTCACTATATGGCATAAAATTTGACAGATTTTTAGATGTAGAAATAAATATTTTGCTGATATTGAGAACCAGATATGTTCTCTAAAATCTGTAGAAAACCTCACTGATTTGTCTTATTTTTCAGACTTGCCAAGTGAACCACTAGAGGATTATGATGCTGAAAGCCCAGTGTTGGACTGGGAGCTTCAAGACACACACACTGAACATTTCTTTGTACAAACTGAAGAGGAGCATCATGTGGAGAGTGATTCCACTGAAGGAGGGATAGAAATCTCTCCTGTTGTGTCAACTACACCAGACAGTATCTGTAGCATGGCTCCTCCACTGGTTGGCAAGGAAACCAGCCATGTATTCTTTTGTTACAGTCCATCTGATAATGAGTGGGTGGCAAATGTTGTCAGAAAATTGGAATCTCCGGCGTATGGTTTTAAATGCTATAACCATGAACTGGTATGTGAACCAGAGAAATCAAAAGCTGACTTAATACTGAGTTGCACCTGTTGTTGTAAGAAAGTGGTTGTGGTGCTTTCATCAGCGTTTTTAGAGAGTGCATGGTGTCAACTTGATAATGCTTATGTTATACAGCAGCTCATCAAAGATACCAACAAGATAATTGTAGTGGCACTAAATGACTGCAATGCTCCACATTATCTTCAACATTTCGTTCCAGTTAATGCCATGTCTAAAAGTTTCTGGCCACGATTTATTGCTTCTCTCAAGCAAGGTATGTTACTATAATAAACAATAAAATTTGAATAAACAAGTGTAGCAACCAGTTTGGGCACCAATGTAGCGGCCAACATGTTTACATCAACTTGACATGCTTATTACAATGGACATAATTGTGTTGTGCATTTTTCAATATCACCAGGAACAATTTTGTAGCTTTTGTAATATTTAATGTGTGTGTAATACTGACAACAAACATCTTCTTGTTTTCTAGAAATATTTGTTGACGTGGTAAACAGCTTTAGTAATGAACACGGTAAGACAATTATAGTCATCTTTTTTTCAAACTTGTTTATGGATTTAGGTTTCATATGGTTTTAGTGTACTGGTTCATTTGGCCATCAATAGGGTCAGAATTTGTCCGTCAATAGGGTCAGAATTTGTCCGTCAATAGGGTCAGAATTTGGCCGTCAATAGGGTCAGAATTTGGCCGTCAATAGGGTCAGAATTTCGTCGTCAGTAGGGTCAGAATTTGGCCATCAATAGGGTCAGAATTTAGCCGCCAGTAGGGTCAGAATTTAGCCGTCAATAGGGTCAGAATTTCGTCGTCAATAGGATCAGAATTTGGCCATCAATAGGGTCAGAATTTGTTCGTCAATAGGGTCAGAATTTGGCCGTCAGTAGGGTCAGAATTTGGCCGTCAATAGGGTCAGAATTTGGCCGTCAATAGGGTCAGAATTTGGCCGTCAATAGGGTCAGAATTTGGCAGTCAGTAGGGTCAGAATTTGGCCGTCAACAGGGTCAGAATTTCGTCGTCAATAGGATCAGAATTTGGCCATCAATAGGGTCAGAATTTGTCCGTCAATAGGGTCAGAATTTGTCCGTCAATAGGGTCAGAATTTGGCCGTCAATAGGGTCAGAATTTGGCCGTCAGTAGGGTCAGAATTTGGCCGTCAGTAGGGTCAGAATTTGGCCGTCAACAGGGTCAGAATTTCGTCGTCAATAGGATCAGAATTTGGCCATCAATAGGGTCAGAATTTGTCCGTCAATAAGGTCAGAATTTGTCCGTCAATAGGGTCAGAATTTGGCCGTCAATAGGGTCAGAATTTGG